TTTTTTTTTTCCGACTTTTTTTGGTGGGGGAGGGGGGGGGCAGGCGTAGCTCCAGCTGGGGGCACTTTTGGAAAAAACTTTATACAACAAAAAAGTCTATTTTGACCCGCAGAACACGCTCCTGCAGTCTGGCCGTTTAACAGTGGATCACCCTGTATACTCTGAGCTTTACAGAAAAATTAATATTCTTGTTTTAAACTTTCCTTCGAAACATTAGCGGGACGTGCTGACTTCGTATCGGACCATCAAACATCCATGGATAGAGGGGGGCCCGTGGAACGGGGTCGGAGATTTTGAATCCTGCTTTCTCCGGGGAAATTATAATCCGAGCAAAAGCGACATATCTGCTCTAAGTATAACGAATGGAAGGTCATTACGATTCGCACGAGTCGAGCAAGTCGTTTGTTTGTTTGTTAACACGCGCGATTAAGCCAGTTCAACGAGCGGGGCAAGTTCGCTCATATGGACATGGTCAGCCACTTTTCAGTGATGCCACGTTTACTTTGGATGGGGAAAAAATTGAAATTCATCGGGTGCTAACCACGATACAGTCTTTCTGAAGCAAATCCTGTAGCACTAAAAAACAACGCCGTATGAGCCTTCAAACGTTGCTAAATTTCTTTCGAAAAATCACAATTTTTGGGGAAATTTGTGAATATCTTTCTCTCTGCTTTCTTAGAAAATGTTGTTCGTAACGTGATCCAAAATGTCTGAAAATATCTAGGGAAAACATTCATACCTACCTTCAAAATTAAATATTTTCTGTGAAAAAATTTAGCAACGTTCGAATGCTCAAATGGTGTTTTTCCTCAGCGCGGCAGACTCAACCTACTGAATGAATTTGATTTGCCAGAATTGCCATGAAATATTGAATTGAACGTCAGGGATCGTGGGATCTGAACTGAGTTTGAGAGGAGAAAGTAAAAAAGATAGCATTTTAATTTAAGTATGATCTGTAATAATTAGGGTTTGAAGGCAGTAACACGGAATACGGTAATCGAGCACGTGCATTATTTCCATGACAGCATATGTGCCAAACTCGTGTTTGTAAATACCAGACTCGCCTGACAGCATTCATCGATCATTCATGCCTTATGGTGAATAGTACCACAAGCCTGGTCTTCTTCACCCAGTAATATCTCTGTGTTTAAATAACTGAAGTAGACTCTGGTAGAATTGACTTGAGGAACAATTCATTAAACGTATTGTAGAGTAAATCAGACTTGTGGTGGAGTTACCATACTATTTCAGTGTATTTAAGTTAAATGCAAGGAAGAAAATAATTTCTTCAAGGGTGGGACATAGGAACGGTTTGTACCTATCATTTTTTTCTGGAAAATTTTAATCAGGAGTCAGGGTAAAAAATTGCCGAATTACGACGCAACTCACCGTCCTTTTTCAGCTTAAAAAAGAACGAAGCGTCTCGCAACTTGTTCTTGAGAGCATTTAGTTTTTCGTCGAAATCTCAAAATTTCATTTTTCGACAAAAATCGCTTTGAAAGCTGAAAATATTGCCTCCATGGACTAAAATTCCTTTTCATCGAGGATGACCTTCAATTGATTAAAAAAAATTAAAAAGGATGATTATAAGGCCTTTTTAATAAGGCCTAATAAATTTGGCAGTGCTGAGATTGAGAAGAGAAAATAATGGAACTGACCGGACTCAGCGAGACATTGAAAACAAAACAAATGTTTACAGCTCGCTCTTCTTTGCGCTTCTCTACCATGCCAAGGAAGAGTGCCGTTTACGTACTTTAACAGTGCAACTTTTTGCCTGATAGAAATGTATTTTTGAGATAAGAAGAATATTTTTCCTTCAAAATCCCTGATACTTCAGATTAAAATGCGAATAAAATTCTTTGAAAATTTGGGTGGGAAAAAACACAAGTTTCTCTAAAAATTATTTTATTATTAGAGGAAATTTGGTAATGGGCGTTAATGATCGACTATCGATATTTCCCCATTTAAGGCTATGATAAAGAATCGTTTATTAAGGTGTCCATTGCGAACTTCCTGTTCATCGATTCTTTTCCATAGGTTTAAATGGCAGATCAATCGATACATCGCAAAGCACGCCACGCCACTGGAACGGCTTAAAGATTCAATTAACGTTCGTGAGTGGAGAGAATTTCATGCAAAACGTTGAGAAAAATGTGTAAGAGCCACTCCGTGCAGAAAGCGGGATGAAGTTCGATCTCATAACACCGTAACGAGGGCTAGGCTTCGCAATCGGCGTGACCGAGCATTTCAAACATTTTTTCGGCAAGAACCGGGAAATTATGATGAATTATGTAAAATATAGATCTGCAATGCGCATAAAAAACGTTGAGTCGAGGAGAGGGTGGGCCCAAAAACGACCCTTATGACCCCTTCTTTTTCTCGTAGTATGAAGTGTGTCTTCCAAAACTTTGGAAATCCGGCCTGTAGACGTAAGATCAGAGGATAAGAAAAAAAAGAGTGAAGAAGAAGAAAACCTTTGACCACCACCGAGAGCAAAGGCTCTTGAAAAAAAAAAAAA